GAGAGAATGGTGACTTCTGAATTTAACCACTTAACAAGTCGTACAAATATACTAAATCCAAAAAGACAGTGGCATGGAACGTATATTTTCCTTTCATATTTGGCCAAGATATAAACGCTAGCAAACTGTTGAGTTTTGATTGGGTGGCACATAGGTTTAAGACTCTTGGATGAATTTTATAGAACGGTTTGTGTCAATAGGTTAAAAAAACAAGGTTGCATAAGCATAACAAATGAAGATTTTGTTATGCTGGGGAATTAATTTTAGCATCAAAGTTCCACGTACCTTCGGTGTTAAATAAACAATTACTCATATAACATTATAATAGGTCGCTATAAAGCCAAATCAACACAATCCATACCCAAATCCATACCAAATCCACCTAAATCGACGTATTTGCAAGCGTTGTGCAAGAGAATATAATATTGAACTAGACACGAAATTAAAGGTTCTGAGTGTAGCATATCTCGATTGTCACAGACGATGGAAGAACTATTCAGTATCTCTATTTGTATACGTGAAGATAACTTTGGCATGGATGATATCGAACCACTTTCATTGTTTGTTTTATGTGTAAGACTAATAAAATAAGCAAGATGTTGGTATGTAAAACCGGGTCAAACATTCAGAAAACACTTCCATCTAATGAAGAGGTTAAGGAGAAACATTAGAATCTAATTATTTAATATGACTGCTTTCACAGCCAGTCTTGTATATATTCCCTGCATGAAATCAATATTCTTGAATGTCATCAAACTTACACTCAACCTATACTAAAGCACAAATTGGCGAATCACAAAATTCGACGATACACCTTATTCTACTGGAACTCGTGTAGTTATCGTTACGTTCAGAATAGTCGATTGGAATAAATCTGCTTATGAATGACACCTCATCGTATATCGCAACATTTGAACATGATTAAGAAACTCTTGCATCTCTGGCATTTACAAATATTACAGAAATCTGTTTAATTTGTTTATATTCATATTTTTTAAACACACTTTCAGTCAAGTTGCGAGTGTTGTAATTGATGCACGAATTCCTTTTTAAAAGAGTCAGGTCAAGGAGAAATGGATCTGTTTCACACTTTGAAAATGCTAATTCATTTTCCAACTGTCGTTTCCAATTTTGTCCTTTAAAACAGCAACACAAAATGGCAATTGGTGGTGAAGGCTTTGAAATATAGTAGTATGAACATCCTAAAGATTACAGAAAAATGCGTTTAATGCATTGAATTATTCACATACATTGTGACATATCAGCAAAATATGGGGTATAAATGTAGACGAACGGCATTATCAGCAAATGGTGAATGTTTTTTTAGAACTGAAGACAGAATATATTGCAAAACGGATGCAAGCAGTAACAGTGTATCAAAGTCAAACAATTGAACTAGAGATCTGAAGAAAAAAAGTCCAACCCTCCAACCAAAAACAAAAAAGACTCTGAACCGATAAAATTTGGATTTGTAAAGACATGGTGGAAAAGCAAGAATCGAAAACCAGTGAAACTAGCAGCCATGGATAGATTCTTATTTGTTAACATTCCACATGAAGGTTTTTATGTTTTGCACATGACAACAAATAATATTGAATAGTCAGAAACAGAAAAGATCTGATTGAATAATCAGTTAATATTACAAAATCAATACAAGTTCTAGTAAATATCGAACTTCCAACAATAAACACAAACGAGATGTTTTATAACCAAATGTCAGAATCGTATTATATTTCTTTATTGTTACTGAGGACAGATTCGATGAACTTCCTCCTGCAGTGACTAAAAGAATGTATGTTAGATTTGCACCGAGATAAGGAATTCATAGCCAAGGGACTACATTATTTATCTCCCCTCGAGACTATTCAACACAGCTTATGTGTATGACCTCTATACTTATCAGTTAAATGACCATGGGCACGAACTTTGTTTTGAAAATATTTTTCACTCGTAAGACGCATATATATTTGGTTAAAATATCGTTCCTTTACAAATGTGAACACAACATTGCCGTTTCAATCTTAATATTTCAAAAGGAAATATTGCATTTGGTTTCCAGTGCATAATATTGATAACTAAACACGGTTGTGTATTACAGAGTTTTGAATAATGACAAATGTTCAACAGGTTTAATTTGGCCAAACCAAACACAGTAGACAATGCAAGTAGAATACTGAAAAGGGATGGAAGATATTTGGACAAAGTAAGAGACACAAAATTAATCCACATTTAGGTGGTGCGTCGCTTCATATAGGAATAAAATCTTAGACTTTAGAAACAAAATAATATTTCTTATATAGCTTTAAGTGCATGTTGGTAAAATATATATATATATATATATATATATATATATATATATATATATATATATATATATATATATATATATATATATATATATATATTGCAAACAGCTGGTAGCAGTGTCTAACTTATACACAATTTTAAATACGTTTTAACATTTGAATACTATTTCATAATGTTTTTGACTTATACTTCACAACAGCCGTTGTCTAAGAATACGAGAACACTATATATGTCATGAAATGATAGTCGCATATTATATTTTCATATATATGTGCCTGAGAAATATGTATATTCCAGTACCAGTAATAAATTGCCGTTTACTTTCCTTTTTGTCAGGGCACCAATTTTTTTTGATCCAGTATTATGACTATTTTTTATACATTTTTTCATAAATTGTTAGTTGGGAGTCAGAGACACTCATCCTTGTATCTGTGGGCTACCTGGAATAATAATAACAAAAATGTTCTTCTAATGATATGATTTATAATATATTTCAAGACTTTGAATTTAAGGAATATATGCTAATGGGATGTTTTGTTTAAGATGTAAAGGTTTCCAATTAAAATAGGAGAAACGGAAATTAAACTTAAGAGTGTCCAATTTGTTCCAGAGGTAATATTCATTTCCTGTAGATCCATCGTCTTTCGTTAATTTCCTTTCCCTCTCTTCCTTCTGTTCAATCGAATTATACGTTAAACTTCCACCATCCTAAGATATAATGAAATGTATCTGTCACATTAATTTGAGCAAGAAGTAACTTATCAAATTCAAAGTTATAAAGATATTCATCTCCGATAAATCCATCCTATTTCGTTAATTTACTTTCTTCTCATTACTTCTTTTTCATTGATAAAATCTTACACTACCGGCATACTAAGATGTCCCTGATAGATCAATCTGAGCAGAAATGGGCATGCTTTGTTTAATTTATTTTCTATTAATTTTCTATTTAACTGGTTGTTTAGGATTCTGATAAAGTAACTTAATAACTCTTCATTTAAAATTATCTGGTGTATTTAGAATAATCTTTGACCTGATTTGATCAGGCTTGAACCAGTGTATTAATTAATGCTCTTGCCTACCACGTTTGCTTTATAATTTTATAAATCAAATATATACGCTTTGACGGTTTGGAATCCTGTCTACCGCTCAGCTTTTCGCTGAGCAAAAATATTGGATTTTGCACGAAGTACTAGTGCTTTCATTTTATTAAAAAAAAAAAACAAATTACATTAAACTAGAAGGAATTGATGCACTTAAAAATGGAGGGAGGATGCGCTTCCTTATATATCCAGAAGGGAGAAAACCTCTGCTATCAAATGGAAACACACACACTAAAGGACACTTACGGAAAGTTGGTGCTCTCCCCTCTGTGATAGTGGAGGCAAAGACAACTGGAATCCATATATCAGGACTTCCTATCAAGGAGAGTAAAGGAATGTCCAAAATCATGAAAGCACCGGGAAGAGGGAAAGGATTTGCAAAATTACATTCCAACAATGCTAACCTCAACTGATTACTTAAACGTGTAAGGACTATAAGGGACAGTGATATTATTTGACCAGGAAAAAAAAGCCTTTTATAGACTTTAACTCAACTACATAGATAACATATTAAAAACAAAATTGGTTTTGGAAGCAACTATCGAAAATTGACAGCAATGCTGTACACAAACATTGATTCGTGATTTAATGTAAATGGTGCGAAAAAAAAAACAACATAATTTGGAATTGATCGAGCCGTAAGACAGAATATACTTCATTCATTCTATAATATATAGTAGCAATAGACGTATTATGATCCAAAACAAAACAAACTAAAGGGCTAACAGCAAAGGAATCACAATACCCAATTGGAAGAAAGAAGTAAGAATGATACAATATACTGACGATAGTGTTAACTTTATAACTGACCCGAACTCCATTGAAAAACCTGGAACAGGAATATAAGAATTTTGAAGAAGACTCAGGATAAAAAAAAACCATGACAAAACAGAATTGTTTCTAATAGGTTAGCAAACACACACACATAAATTCAAACATATATATATATATATATATATATATATATATATATATATATATATATATATATATATATATATATATATATATATATAGCATCAGAGAACAAGCTACAAATCACAACAGTAAATGTACAATGGAAAAACAGTAAAATTTTATGGAAAGGCGAATGGAAACGATGGATAGATTAAATCGTTGGGAGATTAAAAAAAACATAATATGCTTTTAAACTATTTACATGATACCTGGCTGACATGAGAAGCAGCAATAATAAGACATGATCGAAATAATGCTCAAATGTCATTTGTGTGAAAAAGAAAATTTTCCAACCTCCCTAACCCTCCCCCAAACAAAAAACGATACAACGCAATGCACTGATAATATTACAGAGCAGGACACCTTAAAAAGATCAACTGATACAAAATTGGGGCTACCATTTGATTCAGATTCTTAATATAGCTTTAAAAGATATTCAGTCATATTGCTACTATATCTGCAGTGTGGCACTTTATAGTGATGTTTAGTACTGGAATATCATGCCGCAGACATGAAGCATAATGTCCTGCCGAGTTACATTATCCTGACATTTCGACCAATCCTAACACTAACCTCTCAATGATGATCGCCTAGCAAGGCAGCTGGTAGTACCATTTTTGTAAGTTCGTGGTTTGACTCGGCCGGGGTTTGACCCCCCACGACTTTGACCTCCCGCATCAGAGGCGGACGCTTCAACCATTAGGCCACCGGAGCGGTCAAGGGGCTTTTATGAAAAAGCCTCCTAACTTTAGACAGGGTACTCAATACAGATTTACTCTCCACAATAACTGATTTTATTACAGACAAAAATATGAACAACTATGATCAAGTCATCACAGTAAAGCGATACAGCTGGACGAAACTCCAATATGCTAGCATTAAATTGTAATATATATATATATATATATATATATATATATATATATATATATATATATATATATATATATATATATATATATATATATAAGAATGAATATATAAATAGAAGAAAGTCGTAAATAATAACACCTTACTGATATACGATCACTGTAGGAGAACATTATTTCGTACAATAATAAATGTCGTGATTATTTTAGTGGACAACTATAAGGAACCAAATATGGACTGAAGAGGTAATCTGCTAATGGAGTTAGTTATAACTATCATATATTAATCTCCGGATTCCAAGGAATCGAGCATATGAATTTTCTTTTAACTTTTCCTACAGTTGAAAAATATCCCGAAGTAGATATTGTCCAAGAGGCGGTAATTGCAATATATTCTAGTAAGGGGTTCATTGATTTAAATATTTTCAATCGATCAAAATTGCATACCCTCTAGTCGTATGTTGCGCCATTTTGTTAACTGAGTCCGCTCCATGAGATTCGTCAGGATTACTTTCGTGGCACGACCACTATCCCCTAGAGATATATTGTCAGGAAAAGTTCCGTGTCAAAAGTCGTTAAAGAAGAGACGTTTTGGTCCACCTGTATCAATAAGATATAATCTTTTGTCTGCATGTGTTGTACTATCGTTCCCTCTCATTATGTCGCCCCAATTTCTGGAAATAGGTTAAACGAAAGTTTTTAATGACTTTGCTTTTTGTTGGAACAGATTTCTGAATATAAACTATCCATCAGATGTTGCAATCAACATTGTTTAGGTACGGGTTTAATTCAAACTAAGTATTAATAAATTTGATCTACAATGAGCGTGTTTCATACACCTACCCTTATGCATGTTGTCCAGTTCCAAGGACGACAAGAGAACAATCGATGCCAAATGAAGGATTCAAAACCCGTATATACTTGAAATAACACTTCCTTAAGCACATCATTGCCACAAATGAGAGATCTCCAATTTCACACTTGGGTTTTTTTGTGTGGTTTCGCGTGTACTTGAGTCATTAGTAAGTTTTTCGAATCCGAATACTAATAGTTCACGCTGCGCACAGGACACGACCCAAGCACCTAAAACAATTAACCATACCCCTTCCTACATAATAATCTGTGATTTGTCCCTAGTCAGCTTTATATAGTTGGCACCAAAGAACGTTCTTTTTTTCTCTAACTGGGTTCGAACAACACCAATGCATGCCCTGAACGGCGTTCAGTCTTCAATAAGTAAGTTATAACCAATTACGTATTTAATCAGGAATAAGGAGCAAGTAACAAATTTTATAACAATAGCATAATTAAGCTTTTATGGGTTATATGTTAGCCAGGATATCGGGGCTGTCTTCACCATTGGATGGTAGTAGTGTTAACACATATGTTCTTAAGAGACCTTGGAGGTATCCATAAACGTTTTCCATAGGTGACCGTTACCAGAACTTTTCAGGGGCATGGTACGCCATATTCCGTCTAGTCTATTCCAGAACCTGGAACCTGTCATTGGGTTGCTGGCAGCAAGAGATACCCTTGGATAATAGCTCAATAACTGCTTCCAATAGGAACTTTTGGAGAGACTAACCACACAGTTTTGCGAGTGAATTGTACGTCTTTTTTTCTATTTTCCCTGTCTAATGCGCGTATTACCTTTCCATGCACAGCTAAAATTATTATTCTCAAGGTCATTATTTGCGGCGATTACAAATCCATGCTATTTTTAAATTTATTCTCTCTGACATTTTATCAGATTTGAACAAATCATTTTGATCCCTTCTTTTAATTTATTGAAGATATTGAACTGTTCTTGATTAGGTGACATTGGCCAGTGTTTCTAATATCCCTAATTATGAGCCCTTGCAGCACATTCATATTTGAGTCTGTTTAAGAGTGAATGGATGTGGGATGGATGAGGATGTTCCACCTCTTTTGGAACCGATTTTGAAATATGTCCCATTTTATGGAATTCAAAAGAATCAGTCTGACCATGTGCCAGAAAATAAACACGAAAATTGGTTAATGTTACATAATGTCAGGAATATTACAATGCTTCATTCATCATCATGTTTATGGATGTTCTTAAGAAGATGTATATATTATTCCTTTACAATAATTTTGCAAATTAACAATATTGAAAAATATTAAAAATCGATGTAAAAACAAAAGTTTATAATTTAACCATTTGTATATAAAACATGTGCGCATGGATATATAGAACATAACATATTTTGCGGTAAATTTTCATAATTTGAACTTCATATGGCATTCAGCAAAACGAGGTATAATCTAATTAGGAAAAAATGATGCAGTGTTGAAATAAAGAAGAAACGTTTAGATCATTAAAAATAGTGTAGAGAAAACCACTTTTTTAAAATCAAATTGTATCTGTAATGAATAGGTAGATAAGGCAGACTAAAAAAGTCATAATATGTACGAAAAGTAAATAGACATTGTCATTTATCTCTCTTTTACCAACATTTGTATTCACTTTAAATTTATTCGGTGATTAATCATTCACATACATCTGATCGTTTTTTTTTCTGCAATGAAATTATATAGTTCGTACAGAAGGGGAAAGATGACTGATGAGTCCCAAGCAGATAATCAAAATTTGACAAGTTTTTGACACTTCATTTTTTATGAAATATAATTAAGGAGTTTTTACTTTAGAAAGAAAAGCACTTACGAAACATATGTATTTATTACAATACTTTCATTGATAAGGAATGTACACTGATTTTAAATGAGAGAGCAAGATCCAGAACGAAAATATCATGGTGCACCTCATTTCATTTTAACAAAATATGTTTTCATAAGTCACTTCAACACATAATCACACAAACATACATACAAACACAAACATACATACACATACATACATACATACATACATACATATACACACATACACACATACACACATTTACACACATACACACATATACACATACACACATGCACACACGTACACATACATACATACATACATACATACATACATACATACATACATACATACATACATACATACATACATACATACATACATACATACATACATACATACATACATACATACATACATACATACATACATACATACATACATACATACATACATACATACATACATACATACATACATACATACATGTATGCTAGCTTTAATAGTGTATGGGAAAAAGGAAAGAAGAACGAAGCTTTGGAAATTAATGTCAAAAATAAATTATTTTTTAACTGGCTAATCTTAGCTTCGACCAAAAAAGGGTTATAGTTCAATGTTTCGTTTTTTTTTCTTCGTTTGTTTCATTCCAACATATATATAGTTCCAAGTGTACCTGTACCAACATTTGATTTTAAACACCGTATTTGTGTATGTATATGTGTGTGAGCCAGTGGTAAATCTTTTCATAAGCTACGAATTTCGAATTTTCTTTATACGTTATGTTTCTTCCCGTATCCCCCGTATCCCAAGTCATATCATAAGGCCGTTCTTGAAATGAAGATATTTACAACACATTTTACACTTTTCTCTATTTCCCTCTGTTTATGCAAAAGTGTTGCCACTTGATGCACCACACGCACACAGTTAAATCAACACTGTTACCATCATCCTAGTATGAAAGTAGAAGACTCATTGAGCAGATATCTGGACGACATATGCTATATTCACATTTCCTAAATCTGACTATAGAAACATAACACTATCGTTATGCATGTTCTGGCTTTAAGATGCAGAGAGATAGGCCTCAGAGTACTTCAAAACTGAGTGGGCTACATGGTAATGTGTTGAGATGTTCTTTCCGCTCAATGCACGAAAGGCGATAGCACAAAGGATAAAAGTACATTTCACGATTTTGATATTGGAACTCAGAAGTGCTTTCTGTGAAATATTCCTTCGGGAAACTTAGAACTGAGAAAAAGTGTCGTCTGATAATTTTATTAAAGTACAGCCTCTTCTACAACCAAAACAATGTGGGCTTGACCAAAGGAAACCAAACTTCTTTTTCTTTGCGTGTGTATTGTAGATAACAATATATATATATATATATATATATATATATATATATATATATATATATATATATATATATATATATATGAGACACCACAAATAATTATCAATATTTACAAATGTATGTATTTTTCTTGATGTTTTAATTTCATATATGCATTTATATTTTTCGATACTTATTTACTTTTAGTTTGTGTTATCATCTTTCAAAAGAAACCCCCTTCAAACTTGACTATGCATGCTTGGTTGCGTGTATACACTTCAGTGTTTAAGTGTTTAAGTGTTCTGTGACCCAAATAGTTCAAATTGTTTGTTAATCATCTTGCCATATCTTAAATGCAAAACTCGAAGAACAGGCAATGAAAAAGTGCTAAGTTTTGCTGCCAGATTTAGGATCTCAAGGCCTGAATATGCGCTGCTGTCCATAAAAGCATATTTTTAATGCTGTTGTGCAAATCCTGATCTACCGTTCTCTATACAGATTTGTCATTTCGGGATACAATTGTAGATTATATGTGAATGTAAACAGTTGTTTTTAGTAAGCTGATCTATCGTCAAGATTGGGAAAGGCGAACTTATGGTTGGAAACACTAATTGCATAGCTATACGTGGTAAGACAACACTTTCATTCTAGATAGCAATATTGGTCCAAGAAATACAGTTGGTATCGTCTAGAAATACGCAAAACGAATTTATAAGTGTACACCATGCATGGGTGCTGGTAGCGGCGGGGATGTTGCCAGGATTTTTAATTTGGTGTGTGCTGAATTAGGTCCCGACACGTTTGCATAAATACGGAGACATATATAATAGTGTAAGATGTGTAGTCATTGC